TCAACGAGCTGAGTCTAACGCCGTTTTCCCCTTTAAAAAATATCTGTTTTGAAAGAAGTTATGACGATGCAACGGTTTGCGACGGATTTTTATGTGAAATCACGTTTTTTTTTTGCAGAAGTTATAAGCGTATTGTACTTCCTTTTTTAGGCCTTGGAGTCTCTGTGACGGGCTTGCTTGGACTGAGATCTCAATTTGTAACGAACCCTTTAACATTTAACATTACAAAAGACTCCAATACAAATTTGTGGCTTTGGCGTAATGCAAGGCGTTAGCAGAAAGATAGTTTAACAATGCAAAACTTGTTGTCTCGCAATTTTGAGCTACTGAGTTTAAATACGATGACTCGAATCATTTGTACGAAAATTACTATAGTCGTTCACTAACACCACATGCAGCTATTCACCGTGATCCTACCGTAATCATCTTAATTCCATCCTTAAATTTTAACCTATTTTCAAGATAACACTTTGAATTGAATTATTAAATAGAAACAATTTTTGAAAAATTATTCCAGTGAACACATTTTTTTGAACATTTTGTGTAGTTGGCAATACCTGGGACATAACTTGGTGCTCCTGGGACCCCTATGAGTTTTGAAACTTGGTCGGCTTGTACTGAGGACGTGGCCGCTATAGTAGCCCTTATACCAAGTATTTCGAATATTCCTAAATTGGGATATTTTACTAAATTCTTCAGATATTTTTGTCTTGACTCTTTTCTTGTTGCTTACCAAATCCGCAAATTCCGAAAGCTTCAGCGATACCAACATCGAATTTGGTTTCTCGCAGTCTGCTTATGATGTCAACGTCATTTAGAATCTCTAAAAATATCCGCAAAAGGCAAGAGGGCACTGCATAAAGTAGTCCATCAATAATATGTACTATAATATGAATTAAAATATATTTCAGACTTATTTACCACTCATTGCAACTGTACTTTTGTGAGAAGGACCAGTATAGAGTAAGCTCATCACTATGTGGCAAACTTATAGTTGAGAAATTCTTTTAGGCCATATCAAAACAACTATCTATGGTCAACTTCTTATGTTGCTTGTATGTTACAATTTCGGGTTCACTATTTCTTTGATAAAATGTTTGAAAACATTCTTTCTTCGATGAGCTTACGGAAAACCCAGGAAGCTAAACTGTTTATCCTTAGACTCAAAAATGCTGTAGTAGCTCTATCCAGAAACTTTTAGAAATAGAAATAGCTAATTCTTTACCTTAAAAGATTGTCTGAGTATGTTCAGTAAATAGGTTACAAGCTCACGAAAGAGCAGCGTGCAGCGTCCATGTTTGCAGTTCTAACAGTGAGGAAGTTCATACATTGATCGTTTCTTAGAGTTTTTGACAAACAGCATTAAGATATTAACACTTAGAATTAATGAAC